TTTTTTTTTTTTTTTTTTTATTTTGCTCCCCTTTTATATGTCCCCCCAAATTAAATCTGTCCTCGTTGCATGGTAAGAAGCGTGCACAGAGGCTTTACAAACGTCGCTCTTCCCCTGTATAACAAACTCATTTTTGTGAAAAAAAAAAAAATGTGAATAAATTATATTGACAAAGTGGAGTGCCTACAATGGCCATTTGTTTTTTTTTAAATTCGTGAGACGAGGAAAGGTCTTTGTACCCCCACCGTTGCACGTCAAATGGAATGAAGTGAAAGTGCCATTTGAACAGGTTGTACATTTCTTTTTTTTTTTCCCCTTTTTTGTACCTCCTTTAAACGTACATGCAGAAATGTAAGAAAAAAAAAAAAAAACTGCCATGTGCATAATTGTCTTCCACTGCAAATGTCGCTCGTGGAATGTTTTTTTCGTTCCACACATGAGTATACTCGTGAGGGGTGTGTGTGTAGGGGGGTATATTCACGTGCACACATTTTTAGCATTACGCTGGTATGTCTTAAAAACCAGCTCGGCAAATTTTACAAAAAAAAAAAAATAGGGTCAAGGTGCCTTGAGTTGTTAGGGTGGGAGGTGCTTCCCCTTTGAACTTTCATCCCTCATCAAAGTGGGGAAGTGACATCATGGGGACGTGCACGAAATGACAAACGAGATAACGCCAAACCCGCTTCGACTTATGACTGCTCCCTTGTGGAACGCACACAGACGAGCACAGCGGGGGGTGTTACGTTGTAGTGACAGAAAAGTACGTAAAAAAAAAAAAAAAAAAAAAAAAATGACGCAACATGCGTACACCTGTTACATGCATAGCTGAGCATCCTTCATCCAACGAGGCAACTTCTCCCAACGGTCCCTCTACTGCTCCATGGTAACTTTTATCTTCGAGTTGTTGTCAATCCCGTAGGTGTATAGACTCGAGTTGCTGTCCACAATTTCAACGCACATAGGGTTGTTCTGAAAAAGAAGGCGGAAGAAAAGAAGGGTCCACAATGGGATGGTATATATACAACGTGCAGGGGTGGGTGAAATGAAGTGGTTCATAATGGCCGAATGGAAAAGCTTTGGAAACGGATAAACGTGCTTATCTGTACTTAAAGCACATGTAGCGATCTGTACATGGGAGACTCCACCACTAAAGTACTTTTCCTTATGCACGTATATCGAGTGACCCACCTCGTCGGTGTAAAATAATTGCATCTTGGGGAGGGGCACTGAATAGAGACGAGAACACAGGTACTTCAAATCTTTTATGTTCATATGTTTGTTAACCTTTTTCTTCACGATTTCGTATTTTTTTGAATTTATAAATTCGGGGATGATGGTGATATTGATCAGGTTACTCTGCATGCCTTTGGCGGCTTCGACGCCGGTTTGGTCTGCAAGGGGGGGATGGTTTAGAAGTTGTGTAGAAGTTGTGTAGAAGCGGTGTGGGAAAGACTACAAACGCGGTGCGTGACAAGCGACAACTCACCCTGCAACGCCTCATAGTGCAAGAACTCCAGACGATCGCTGTGGCGGCAGCCGAGCACGGGCTCGTTAAACACCCTAACGACGTCATCCTTCTGGTAAAGAGATATGAAGAAGCGCTCCGAGTTTACGCGCTCGCTGTTGTTTATGTAACTCCGATTCATTGTTTCCAACATGGGGAGGATGGCCACGAATATGAACCGGAGGTCTTTCTTCACCTTCAAATTTTTTTTTTTCTGCTGGTAATTTAGCGTCTCCAGGTGGTAAAAAACGTAGAACAAATCTCTCAGTGTTTTGTAGTTGTTGATTTTATTTTCATCCAGCAGGAGCTCTTTCAGGTGGCTGAATTTTTCGTTTATCCGATGGAGTCGATCAGGGGGGGAGTCCCCTTCTCCGTCTTCCTCCCTCGTCCCTGAGCATACCCCCTCCGCAATGGTCACTAAATCGTCGCTGTCTGCAAATTTGTTCCTCTTTAAGAAGACAGACTTAATCGATTTCACATGGAAGATGAAGGAAAACAGGTCTTCGTAATCGTGCAGGTAGTTATCGTTGAGTACGATTTTGTGTAGCTTGGTAAAGGTGTGTATGTGTCCCTCGTTGGTGGTCACGCTGGCCGTTCCGTTTGTCGTCCCGTTCGTCATCACGTTGGCCGTCACGTTCGATTCCACGCAAGGCGCGCCTTGATCCCCTTCCTGCGCGATGCGGGCAGGTGAAAAACCATTGTGCGTTTCGGCATGATTCCCCTTTTCACATTTATCACGTTGGACGTACTGGAGCAGGACGGGAGAGTTGGCAAGGTCCACATCCTTCATTCGCATACTCGTGAGGTAGTTTTTCTTCAAGCTAAGAGTTTCTATATTTGGAAAAACAAACGACAAAATTAGGACATCTTCCCAATCGATCATGGTGTTGTCAATGCATAATTCTGTAATCTGTTCAAATCGGATTAGATGGTCCTGCATAATACAGTGGTTACATTTGAGTGTATCTCCCCCTGCTTCTACTATACCTTCCTGATGTTGTCCCTCCTCTTTATCTTTACACACACAGCCCCACTGCACACATTCGAGAGTCAACTGTGTCATTTTATTGTCTGAAATGTTCAGGTAAGACAGCTCCTTCGCCAAGCTAACAATATGAAAGATGTCCTTCCACTGACTTATAAGATTTCCACACAGAGACAAACTACGAAGTTGGTGAAAAACTATCTTATTATGTCGTCCACATGTATATATTAAATATTTATTTAGGGTTATATTTGTGAGTTGATAAAAATTTTGAAAATATTTTCTCGCTTCTGTGACTCCACTAAATTGAACCTTTTTGGTTTTCTTCGTTTGATAATCCTCCACATACAAATCCGAGTCGGTGAAAATATATTTGTATCGAAAATGTAGGGCTTGAAAAAAGGTTAACCCTACGTGTATTTTTTCCAAAGGCATAAATGAGCATGGCTTAAGGTGCCTCTTACAAGTGCGGAGTTCTTCCACAATTTTTTTGTTTTGCTCTATCGGCATATCTAAAGTGTGGTCTCCTCCGTTGTAGCATCTTTTTGTTCTCTCCCTTGTGAGTAGGTGTAAGGGGAAGAAATAAATATCGTTATTGAAATCTCCAAAGTTTTTTCCTGCTTTTTTGTTGTCCCATTCTATTCCATAAAAGGTGGTGTTCGGATGTGGATGATTCTTGAGCGTGCCGATGAAGCGCACCGTGCCTACCTTTATATTTATTTGCTCATTGAACAGATACCTGATTAGGTTTTCGTCTGCCATTTGGTTGTCTGGCTGCGTCCCGGAACTGGACTCGTCATTTGCCCCATCTCTTATGGCCACCTCCTCCCCGTGTGTCACTTTCTCATCGCCGAAAATGCAGCTGAACACGCGCATCCCCACGGATAGCTCCTTCTTGTTGTCGAACACGTTTTCCATTTGACGCGTTGGGGGTAGAAGTTTGGAAAAAAAACAGAAGACGTGAATCTCTTCCCCCTCCACCTCTTTCTTTTTTTTTTTTTTTTTTTTTTTCCCTCTCATTTTTTTTTTTTTTTTAGTCCAGATTTGTGTACACAAGTGAAAAAAAACTTGCATGCTTTTTTCGTTTCCGTGGAGCTTTTAAATCTCCCCATCCGAATTCCTTTTTTTTTTTTTTTTTTTTTTTCACCTCTCTTACGTTTGTGTGTGCTTCCTACACGGGTGTGGATTCCTCCCGGCAGGATTAACAATCGTAAAAAAGTGGCTACTGATGGGTGCTAAATTATGAACTTCTAAATGGATGTAAATAAAAATAAAAAAAAAAAAAAAAAAAAAAGGGAAACGTTTCAAACTTCTTGCCCTACATGGGGAACCTTTGTTGGACACACAATTTCGGCGCAACACTTGGTGCTAAAACGCAGCACGAGAAAAGGGGAGCGTTGACATATAATCGCCGACACAGGGCGCGTACACCTAAGTGATGCGAAGTGGCATGTGCGCGCTATTTATTTTACATACTTAACAAAATTCCATGCACTTAAATATATTCTCGTGTTAGTGTCGGTAGATTTTTTTTTTTTTTTTCGCCTCGATGATTTCCTTCTCAAAGATGACCCCCTTTTTGCAAAATGGACGCAAAATTTCTCTGAGGGGGACAACATATTTTTATAGAAAAAAAAAAAAAAGTACCGCCTCATCCATCGCAACCCCATTTTTATCCCTCAAAATGGAGAAGCAAAAAATGGGGTCAGGGGGGGTGTATGATGGAAGTGGGGAGATTAAATTGGCCGCTCAGTTGGCCGCTAAGTTAAAGACAAATACATGTTTTCCTTTCCAATCAGCCGTACAGGCGATGCTCATTTGACACGCGTACCAGCGGGTGTAAAGAAATTTTTTTCAGGGAAGTACAAAAAAGGTAAAAAAAAGAAAAATGAAAAAAAAAAAAAATGCGAAATGAAAAAGTCCCAACACGCTTGGGGCGCGGTGGAAAAAGGGGACAAACAGCTGCGCAGAGGAACGCCGCGCCGTGTGTGTCCTCTTGGGCTTGTCTCCCGGACAAATCAAGCAAATGTTAAAAACATGAAGAAGCAAATCGTCAGGGGGGGGGGTGGAAAAAGAAAAGCTGCGCAAAAAAGTTAAGTTACATATCTACGCAACCGTGGGGCGATAGTGCAGCGGCCGCAGCGCATCTCCTACACCAGGAGTGTCGCGTTTATGCAGCCATCCAATTCAGGGTTGTTGGTAACCTGCGCGAACTTGGCCCAAATGATCTTCCCCGATTGTGTAACAAGGCCTAGTTCACTGACGTTCACCTCGATAATGGTTCCCTTGGTAATAACACCCAAGTTGGTATACAAATTGGACTGGGGGTTTACCTTAACACTTATAATATCGAGAGAGAAGGTGGTCTTTAATTCACTGTGATACACATTAGCCTTCTTAAAACGTAAGCTACTGGGTCGAATGTATCTTTCAAATTTGGGGTTCTTCCTAGTGAAGTCATTTCCCACAAAGGAAATTTTATCAATGAGTCGCTTCCACGTTTTTCTTCTCCTTTTTCCAGATTTAACAACTCTTAACATTTCAGCCTCATTTAGGGCCTGTATTTTAGGGATGGGCAATTCCCATTTTCCTGCCTTGCTCTTCCTTTTCTGTTTAAGTAGGTTGGTTAAAACTTTTGTTCCTTTCACTTGGGTTCTGTCAAGTAGGTACGATGGCAATCCATTATCATCATTTATTTTTGTGTTTGTTTTTACGTCCTTGGGTTCATGAGCCTTTATGGTTTTCTTTAAATTAACTTTCTCTGTGTATTTTTTCTTGTTGTAAATTTTGGCCTTTATGCCTCTCAGCTTCTTTGCCTTTAGTGCTTCCTTGTGTACTTTCCTCGCTTCCTTCTTTCGAGTCTTTTCAAAATAATCAAATCGGTAGCCGTACCTCTTTCGGTGCAGCTCTATGTAGTCGTTCTGCGGCATATTTTCTACAGGGGAAAATTGAAGCTTCACGGGAGGGAGCGGTCACGTCTCTCAACGGCGACGGGTTTATATCGTGTTCGTGGAAGAGTTTTTTTTGCCCCCCCTAATCAATACAACATTGTCAATGGTAAATTGATTTCCTCCCTAAGAAGATCTCCAAAGGGGGGGGAGGTTGAAGAACCCTCTTCGCAGTCAATTGCGAGGTATATTAACCCAAGGAAGAAAAGAAGCAAGGGGACTTTCATCTATCTTTCCCCTGTTGCTTATTTTCTCTTCGCTTCTTCTTGAAAAAAAAATAGGGGAATATGCCAAACGATGAACCAATCCAATCGCTTCGTTTTAACCTGACGTTAATATCTGCCTCCTTTTCCCCTTTTTTTTTTTTTTTTTTTTTTTTTTTTTTTTTTTTTCTTGATATATAACCATTTGGGCATAGCAACATGTATGCCTTTGTGGCTAAATTTGAATTAGCTCCACTGAATGCCACTTTATCCCTTCCGAAAAATTTGACCTAGTGGCTCGCGCGTTTAGGGTGACATATATATATATATTTATACAAATATAGTAACGTATATATAATAGGGGCTGTTTTTTTTTTTTTTTTTTTTTTTTTTTTTTTTTTTTTTTTTGCGAAGTGTTGCTCGGGCTACGGCGCCTTAAAATTTTCAGCACAGCGGGGTTTCCAAACACCGAGGCGTATTTTTTTTTCCTCATATTTACTACCATTTCTTGCCCAAGAAAGCGCTACGCAAATAAAACGAGAGAGAATAATGCAAGTGTCCTTCTGTAACAAACGAAAGGATGAACAAACCCCATCCTATGTTTGAGTTGAAGTTGTTTGTATTTATTAAAGGAAAAAAAAAAAGGGGGGTACACCAGGGCACAGGGAAAAATTCCTATTCGTCCGCTTCACAAATAATGCATGGTACATGGTTAACAAATAAATATGCATGCACGTTTCTGCCCAATGTGGCAAATTAAGAAAAGGACGCAAATGTGAAGGAGGCTTTTTTTTTTGTTTTGTTTTTCAAACAAGGGACTACCCTCAAGGGATGTTATAATTTATTTTTTTTCCGTTTATTTTAAAAGAGCAAAATGGGAGGACGATATAATTCGGGAGCACGTGGGAAAATAGGAGTACGCATCCCACATAGGGGTTGTCCATACCAGCGATCACGCTGTGAGTGGCACGCTTCGAATGGCACTCTTTTTGCAAATAACCCCACGGCATGACCCGATTGACACAAAAAAAGAAAAAACAATAAAATGTTAACAAAAGGAAAGTCGCGATAATATATCGCATATAATATCATAACAGTCACCACAATGACAGCGTCCATCTTGGTCACCGTTAAGACGCCCCCACTTTGTCACTGAAAAAGGACTTTAGTTCATCGGGGAGCACTCGTAAGATGTAATTCTCCTTTCTACTCTTGCTAAACCTGGGGAAAAAGGGGCAAAAAAAAGAGACACATATATGGGGCAACAATGGGCCGGCAAAATGGGGGTGAAAAAACCCTAGTGGGACTCCCGAACACCTACCATGGCTTCACCTCCCAAAAGGGGAGAGAGATGACGTGCCAGTTGTCCTGCTCCAGCAGCCTGCGAAAAGGAAATTCGAAAAAAAAAATAATAAATGCAGGATTGACAAACTGGGGAACAATCAGCCGCGACAAGCGAGGCCAACCGGCCGCCCCCTCCACACATGCTCACCTCTGCTTGACGACCGTTTTCGTGTTGAGGGCTGGAAATCCCCCGCTGTACGACTTGGTCTTGTAGTGGAATGGGCCATTCACCTCTATCGCGATGTTACGGAGTCTATTAAAAGATGCGTCAAATTTTATCAAATCCTCACGAAGGATAACAATGTCAATGCAGAGCCCCTTGTCCGTCACGTATTCCACATGACAAGGAATTTTTAAATCTTTTTTAATTATGTCTGCTATTTCGTAATGCAGAGAGGAGGAGCTGTAGGAGGTTGTGCTCATGTTGTTTGTGTAGGTTTGTTTGAACAGCTGCAGTAGCTTTAGCCCATACTGAAACGGCTTCACCTTATCGTTGTGCGCGCGAATGGCTTTCAGGGCGGGGACGTCACTGTTCTGTAGTAAGCCGCCCTTCTCTGGTGATGCTGCCCCCCACGCGCGGTACGCCAAGTACGACTGGTACAGCTTGCACACCATGATCTCGATGGGAGTGTTAACGCTGCTGTCTTTTGTGTAAGCATAATAGGACTGATTAAAGTACACGTTGTTCTTATAATAATCCAATGTGTCTTGATTCAAGTTTTGTAAAAATGGCATCTCATAAACAAAGTTGAAAAGTTCCTTGTCCATGTGTGCAAATGCCGACATGTACCGAATGATATCTACCAGTTCGATCGGCGTGTAGTTGTGTCGATTCTGAAAAACCATTTTGGCTAGGTAGTGCACCATGAGTGTTTTCACCTCTGCAGGGCGCTTCTCTTCAGATCGCTTCTCTTCAGATCGCCTCTCTTCAGATCGCCTCTCTTCAGATCTCTTCTCTTCACCGGGAGCAGCAGAAATTGCCCCGTCAACCAAATACAACGCCCTTATCAGCTTTGTAACTAGGCCGTTATTTCTGTAGTCTAACAAATGAAGAGACTTCAAAATTAGCAAAAAGAGGACATTTAAAACTTCAGGAGAGTCGACCTCCAACTCAGCAAGACTGTAAAATGATAGAATGAGCTCTTCTATGCTTAGGTCTGGTGCCTTTTCCATAACTTGAGACGTGATCAAATTTAATATTTGTACATTTGTGTAGGGGAACTTGCACAGGGTGTACAAACAGTACACAGGGAAGCAAATGGGTCGACTACTGACCAGACCGGAGGATGCCAATTGTGTGGATTCGTTCGACTTGCTTTGTGCTTGGCCCGAATCGATGAACTCTCTTTTGGCGTGTCTCAAATCTTGGGCAGCATATTTGTTCTTCACATCAGTACTTTTTTGCACCTTTTCCTTTTCCAGCTCATCTTGGGAATTGTTTAAGGAGGAGTAGTTTGCATTGTGGTAGATGGAGTAGGTGAAGTGCTTCATGTGAAATGGGGAGGAGGCAAAGTGGTCTGGTTCGGGGTCGTCTCTGCGCAGTGACTGGTCCATGTGGAGGCAGAAGGCCTCCAAGTTTGCCTCTTCGTAGGGTGAGGAAGCGACACCGCCATCGTGCGAGACATCCTCCTTGACAATACCAGCTTTTGCCTTAACACTTCGCGTACTTCCCGTACCACTTCCCGCACCGCTTCCCTCAGCGACCCCCTGCAGGTACCGCAGAAGCCTCTTGGAAAAATTGAGGAAGAGAGGGCGGACGTAGATTTTTTTCACCAAGCAAAGGTACACAGCCTCGCACAGAAGGAACATATCAAACTGGTCCATAAAAAAAACGAGGAAAAAATATATGTACTTAAAAATATTTGTGTGATCGAATTTCAAAATGGAGAAGCACCTCAAAATGGTAATAATGTCCTTGATATTTATATAGGGAATAAATTTGTACATGTCTTTATTCTTTTCGTAAGTCGTTAATTTTTCATTGCTGGAAAATATTTTATATATAATTTTAAGATGCTTGTTTATGCTGCCTACAATTCTCATGAAGTTCCTATTCCGTGTGATGTGATGTAGTCTCCTCCTTTCTTCCTTCAACTTGAGAATATTGTGATCGTCTACCTCTCCATATGTGTCCTCTCCTGCTCCGTCCATGGTGAGGAAATTATCATTTAGGCTGTCTCTCGTCAGTGAACCCTTACTTGGTTCCCTTGATGATAGCACATCGATCTTCTTTCCTCTAAGAGAAGAAATCACTCTCTGTCGTCTTTCATTCAAGTAGCTCGTGGTAATTTTGTACAAAGAAAAGACGCTCATGGTAACATTTAAGTAATTATAAGGGTTCGTATCAAACACGAAAAATATATCATCTACATTTTCTTTGTTATAAATTTCGTTGTATATGTGGTCCACATTATCATTTAAAAGTTTGTTATTCTTTTTTAAAATATAATTCCAATTTATTTTTTTGTTTGTCCTTTCTCTAATCATTTTGAGGTTCTCTTTTGGAGTTCCCCATATACCTGCTTCCATAAGATCTTTTATGGATTTCCTATTTTTTCTAACTAATATGTGATCGCTAATAAGGTCGAATTCATCGTCCTCATCAGTTCGTCCTACTTCTTCAAGGGGGACCTTGTCTCTGTCTCTGGCTTCTCCCTCTCCACTCTCACTCATCGCATGGTCTACGCCTTTATCTGAAGAAGCCCCGCCATCTGCCCACAGTTTTTTATGTTGCTCACTTTTTGCACAAATGGCTGGTTTTAAAAAGCAGTTCCTTTTGTTAAAGCTGCGAACAAATTCAGAGTTCCTCCTATGGTGATGGCCTCCTCCTCCCTCATCATGGTAGTAAAAGATATGATACCTTCTTATACATCTGTCCTCATCGCCATTTGGAGGAGGGCGCAGTTGAAGTGACTTCTTCCTTCTCTTAACATGGCTTCTTACCAGATAGCAGTTCCCACCCTGCGCCCTCTTTAACAAACTCGATTTTGATACAAGCGAATGGGACTCTCGAATGAATGCAAGGGACACACTTAGGAGGACTATCGAGTAAGCTACCAGCCACAGCAAGTAATTAAAAACGATCATTATAGCCGCTCATTGCTTAGGACGGGGGGGCATGTGGGAGAGGCAACTACCCCAACCGTGTAAAAAAAAAATGTGTGCCGCGGGGATCCAGGCAAATAGGTAAACTTCAACGATAGTTAAAAAAAAAAAAAAAAAAAAAAAAAAAAAAGTGGCACACGCTGCGCTCCTAGGGGATACTACACAATGCTGCATAGTTACCACTTGGGCAAAAGATAAAAAGAAACTATGGCCATCGTTGTTGCATCCCTTCACACAGCAATTTGCCTGTTGCTGCTTGGATTGGGCTGAGACGCTCCATTCGCCAATATTTTTTTTTTTTTTTTTTTTTTTTTTTCCTTTTTAACCGGATCCGTTACATCATCAATCTGTGGAGGGCCATTGGTTCGGGGTGCAACTTTTTTTTTTGGCCAATTCGCTCGCCCCTTTTTCGCACTATCGACCAGAAGTGCAAATCATAAATGGGGGATGTCCCGAACGGCTTTTTGCGCAGAAGAAAAGTGGCCACTGTTCACTGTCGCATGGGAAGAAGGTTACACTGGACGAAGTCAAAGTGTGATGTGCTAAGCGCGTGATCCATATAAAATGCTACCGATTTGTAGTAGTTATTGGGGGAAGCCAACATGGGGAGTGTTCTCCACACCCAGGTGCTAAGATCACAAACGGCGTGCAAATCGGGCTCATCAAATAACCACATAGGTGATAATGTCACTTCTAATTGGAACTTCAAAAAAGGTTTGTAATTAAAAAAAAAAAATTTAAAAGAATGAAAGTAATAATAACAATGGGAGCAATAAACCGGAGTGGATAAAAAAAAAAAAAAAATACGTTTTGGGGGAAAGAACTCATACACATGTGGGGCGGGGAAATGGCCCACTAGTATGCCAACAAATAAGTACACACGCACACCAGGGTAACCCGGCCGTCCGCTCCTCTCTCGTCATGCTTGTTTTTCCTCTTCAAAATGGGCATGCAAAAAAAATATAAAAAAAACTACACGCATGATAAGCTGCACACACGACGCCTGCACAGCGACGACAAGGGGGAAAATTTTGGGGAGGCCTACCCACACGACCGCTTCGTTACCCACAAACGATGGCATTAGGGGGGTGGGGGATTAAAAATGGGTTCCACGTCACGTTACGCTCTGTTCGCTTTAAAACGACATGACGTTCGGAACGTACGGATGGTAAAAAAAAAAAAAAAAAAAAAAAAATACTTCCTTCCCTGTAAACTACCCCTCCGCGCATCCACACACCGGATTTACTGACTCCCATTATCACACACAAGTGTCCCCACCCCGCGGCTGGTACAACTTTGTTACTCCTCGAAGGCCCACGGGTTGCACTTCAAAAAATTGTCCGTAGCCTCTTTGATGGCATAATTGGGAATAACTTCTCGCATGGAGAATTGCTCTCGACTAACCGGGTCGAACGACCCATTATGCTTAACGTGTTCATACAAAAATATTTTATCATATGTCATGCCACTAGGAGTAATCACTGGTTCATTCATTAAGCACATTGAAATTTTGCAGCACAAATAATCCGGTATTTGTTTCTTCTGGAATGAATTTAAAACTTCTTTAAACAGATTCTCTGTCTGTTGGGTTCGTAAAACCTTCTCCTCATTTGAAATGTAGCCAATTTGACTGAGTAAGTTAATTTTATCGATTAGGAATGACTGCAGCTCGGTGTAGGTCAGCTGTTTGTTCTGTTCATCTCGAAGGTATATTAACTTTTTGGCTTGCAATATGTATCTGTTAATTTCGCTTTCATTTGAATCTTTTAAATAGCTAGAGAGGGTTTTCGCTTTGGTTAGCTTTTTTAAGCCCTCTTCTAAACTATTCAAATGTAGAAGGGTCAATCCCAGAATGAAATGAGCCTTTACAGATTCTTCTTCCAAATTTAGAGCCTGTCTTGCGTCACTGTTAGCTAACTTCCACAACTTCTGCTTCTTGTAGCAGAGAGCCCTATTGGTGTAATACACATGATTAGTGTTGTCGTATGAAATTGCTTTTGTGTAGTAGTCTATGGCAGATTCGAAATATCCCAGTTTGTAGCTTTGGTTCCCCAACACTTTGTACTTTTCTGCTTCTCTCTTCCTGTCCTCCGGGTTCAGCATTTCTGAGTTTGCGGCATGCACGTGTCGCTTCTGCACTTGATCCTCCGCGTCGTCACGGTCGTTGTGGTCACCATTATTGGCTCCATCGTCGCCATCACCACAGTCACCCCCATCATCTCCATCGCCACACTCACCGCTATGGTTGCTATCTCCACTGTCGCCGCTATCTCCGCAGTCTCGGCCCTTCTTTATTTGCTTGCTGTGGTTGCCGCCGCTGCTGAAGCTGTTCCTGTGGCTGCTCACGTGACTGCTCAAGTGGCTACTCAAATGGCTGTTGTTGTCCCCCTGTCTGCAGTAACTAGAGTTGAGCCCCACGTCCTTATAATTCACATTGGCCACGTAGTTTCTTTTATTCCCAATATTTTTATTCATCATGGAGTTGCTGTTTGGGCCTAAATTGGGTTCATGACAATTCGCGTTTGCATTATTCCCGCTATTCCCATAGCTACTGCTTCTGCTGTTCCTTCCGAGTGTGTTGCCCCCATGGGTATCATCCTCACGGCTGCTGGGGTAGTTGCCCCCCGCGCCACTTCCTCCGTAGTTATCCCTATAATGACTACCACTGCACTCATAATTTCCATGGTTATGACTGGGTGCTTCCGTGAAAGACCTGTTGTGAGTACCTCCCATTGTGTACGAATTATAATAATCTACCGTACTATCGTTCATGCCTCTCCTTAAATTAAGGCTAGTTTTGCGTTCAATATTGGAAAAATCTGCACCGCTATTATTATAATCTGCATACCCATTGCTGCTACTTTCTGCCCCTAAGAAATTGACACTACTGGCACTGTTACTGGTTCTTCTATTACTGTTGTCGTTGGGAGTTGGGCAGCTGGTGCGCCCACTCTTGCGCTTCTTTTGGTATTGATGTTTCATTGTACCACTACTGGATGCCTGAGCATCTGCATTAATATATGAAGACGTTAATGATGCGGAGGAGCCATTATTTCTCGCGTACATTTTCCCATTGCGATCGCCTGGGTCGTCCATAGGATCGTTTTGGTTTCCACCCCGATGGTTGCTTCGTTCCTCATGTTGATCACTTTCTCCATCCCCATTGTCATCCTCATTATCATCGTCCTCGTCGTTACTCTCCCCATTATTGTCGCACCTGCCATTTCGGCCGTAGTGCCCATTATTACCATCATCATCACCGTCTCCATCATCATTGTTGTCGTTGCCTCCTCCTTCATTAGGGGTTCTTCCATTTGCATACCCACTCGTACTGTTATTATATCCGCTGCTACCGCTATAGTTGTAGTTGTTCCTATTGCTGTTGCTGCTGGTGCCTCCCCCAGCGTCGTTATTGTTATAATTATTTTGGGTGTTACTTGCACCGTTTCCGTTCTGTTGGTTATTCGCATTGCCGCTATTTTGGCTACTACTATTACCGGTGGTTCTGTTGTTGCTTGATGCTATATGGTATGATTCGTTTTCTTCCATATCATCTGTGCAACTACAGTCGTACTTGATCCTGCTATAATATGGGCTGTCGATGTGGCTAGCCCATTCGTAGGCTCTGAGTGGGTCATTCATGTAGCCGCCATCGCTGAAAGCACCAATTTTCTCGCTAACAGCATTGACGCCGTCCTGAATTACACTTTCTACAAAATTGGATAGACCACTCCTGCTCTTTATCTTCTCCCACACTCCTCGGAGGTCAGCATAGTGGCTATATTCCTTTGCTGATGACTTGACATATTCATAAGGATTGAAGTTGTTTACATTTGGGGCTTCGCCCTGTACCTCTGTGAACGTAGTGTGTGAGAAGTCAGGGCTATTCTGTTCGGGAGCGTAGACGTCGCGGTCGTTCCCTTGACTGTACACGTGGCTGGACTCTTCTCCGTGACCAAAGCCGCTGTCATTATCAGCGTCGCTCCCTCTTTCCGGGTTGACATTCCTGCTGAGGAAGCAGCGGTTGCCGCTGTGCGCGCTGCGCCCACTAAGCCCACTGTTACCGCTGTGGCCCCTGTTCCTGGCCACGCTTTCCGCACCCTTCATAAATGCGCTCAAATTGTTCGATAAATAATTCATGTTCCAATTTTTCAGGAAAAATTTTTTTTCTTCTCCTTTATTTGTCTCCATTTGTTTTAAAGATTTAAAAAATTCTGTGTGTAAAAAGATGCCTCTATTTTTTACTGCGTTTGCATCCCAATGTTTGTTCCCTGTGTCACATTTATTGTCAGCTCTTTTTTTAACCCTCCTATGATTGGAGAAGTTACGAAAATCGCCAACTCGTTTTTTATACTTGTTTGTGCTGTTATACTTGTTCTTAAAATGTTCACTCTGGTGCCCTTCAATTTCTGCTATACTATTCATTATATGAATTTTTTTTTTTTTTTTTTTTTAAAATAAATTGCTATATCACTGCGTTAATTTTTCTCTGCACAATTTTGACCCTCTTCATTGCTTCTCAATTTTTCATTCCCAAAGTTTTTTTTTTTTTTTTTTTTTTTTTTTTTCTTGGGGAAAAGGAAATTATATAAAAATATTCACAGCTGTTGGTGACCCTCACACTGTTTTGAGGGTGTAAGGTGAGTGGGCGCATAAACGCAACGCTTACGCTTATACTTATACTTATGTGTACTACACGCACGTGCTACAATTGGATAGGGATGGGGACGTACACGTACACATGTGGTGGGAGGACGGACGGACTGACGGGGTGGACCTTCCCGTGGACGCACTCGCGGAGAGTGATAATCACAAAAGGTGGGTGTGGTCCTTCGTTACGGGCCTCCCCACAGCTTCGCCTCAAATGGTCCGTACTACTGCTTGTAACAATTTCCGCATGTACAAATGGGGTACGCGCTGCGGGCGTGTTATGCACGGGCGTCGGCACTGGATGTAGGCAGTTTCACATGTGGGGGATGCGGCCTTTTGGCTACATGTGCGTTAGTGTGCCTTGACCTGCACGACGGGGGGATGTATATGCTGCAACGAGTGGCCTGGGGCAAAGGTGGCCACTCTGCCGCGGTGCTCACGGAGGATCTGTTTAGCGAGAGAGGTGTGGCAAACGTAACAGTTGACGCAAATGTGACAACCTCCACAAACATTACAAGCGCGCAAAACGTGGTGCTGCTCGCGCGTGGGCACAAATGGCTTCATCTCAGGCGTACACATATGTCGTTCATACACACGGACCTGCGAATCCACGCGCTGATTCACACCTCCCAAACGACTGCTTCCCACAATGGCAAAAAAGAAGGGGAATAAAAAAAGGTGATAAAAACAAATTCTTTAAAAATGCAGCTGCGTGTATACGCTCTGCAATGGCATGTATGTACTACTTATGTATAAAAAAAAAATATATATACATGGCTAAACTCAAGCAAGATGGGCTGGCGGAAAATAGAAAAATAAAATGTTCAAATGGGAAGGAATCAGGGAAAAAAAAAAAAAAAAAAAAAGGGAAAAGGAAGGAAGGCACAAAGGTTGGGAGCCAACATGCATAATGTGCTTATAAAACATACGTAAAAATATATATATGTATCCAAAAAGTAAGCATATATATATTTTTTGTTTCTTTTTTGTACACGTTTGTATACATACCTGTGTAATATTATATGCCCACTTTGAAAATATATATTAACAATATTTCTATGTTTTAAAAAAAAAAAAAAAAAAAAAAAAAAAAAAAAAAAACGGCTGGAGCTTCAATGAAAAGCGCCCAGCCTCTCTACATTTTTATGTCCTCTGTACTTGTACATATTCTCATTCGTACGTGTACTCGGCAAGGGAAATAAAAAAAAACATGAGGATGCCATTCTTCGCACTTTTATATGTGGACGTTCGTCCGACGCACTTTGAAACGTAATTACGCACGGCTGTACGTACAAACTGCACAAACTACACAAACATGCACGCACGTACTTTGTATATGACCAATGTGGAGGTAAATTTTCAAACGGAACAGAACTTAGCAGCCCTCTCCCAAGTAGTACGATAATAATGTGAACTCGGATGGTGAAGAGAACGAGAAAAAAAAAAAATAAATAAAAAATCAAATAATTAAAAAGGCGCCAAGGTTTCCATTTTTTTAAAAGCGACGCCATCTGGAGGTATGCACGGGACAGGTGACGCCTGTCAACTACGTGCACGCATGCTTATGCACGTACACCTACGGACATACCACATGCGCACGTGGGGGTGCGGTGAACATTAACACAGAAATGAACTGCACGCAGTTTTTATGCGCATTTATGAATACAAAAATGGAGGCCGTAAAAATGTCGAAGGTCATCAAACAGGAAGAAGCAGAAAAAAAGTGTACGCGCTGCATGTTCCTTGTGTAGGTTATTTTTATACCGCCTCATACACGTTTGTGTAGGACCATTTGGGGAAAAATGAGAAAAGCTCATGTGTACTGAGCTTGGTCACGCTTTGTTGAGCTTCGCTGTGCATTGTTGCGTATCATCCCGTTCCATTTTATTATTTTTTGTTTTTTCTCCCCCCTCCTGTTGCAATGTTGGATGGAGCTTCTCTGTGGAAAGGGCACCAAGGACGGAATAGCACATTTTCCCCTCTTTAAGCTGTAACATGGCAGTAGTTGTGCTGCAAAGGACGCAGTGAGGGCTTGCCCTGGACGCCAATTTCTGGTGTACCCAAGGGGGAGAACCATGCAACAAAAAGTGTACGCTGTGTACCGCGCGCATCGTGCTTCATGTGCATGTAGGCGGAGAAAGTCACTCACGTGGCGACTGCATTCGGGAAGGCAAATAAATGTGCCCACTCTTGTGCCGTAGCCCTCCGTATATACACGAATTGATTAAGCAGGCGGGGCCTTCCCTCCCAAGTGTACACACAAGGTTAAAGTACACTGTAATAGAAACAAATTGGAATGAGGTGATGTTGTGATGAGACTTCACCTCCATCTGAGAGGCATTTTCATTTATTGTGCCTATTCACGTGTTACCTGTCAGGGAAGTGCGGTGAATGAACTTTTCAGCGCAAAGCTCCACACCGACATATGAGATTGCAAAAGTGGTTTAAAAAAAAAAAAAAAAAGAATTAAGAGTTTCCCATGTGCGATGGGAACACATCCATTTTTGCAGAGAAAAAAAAAAAAAAACAAACAAACAAACAATTCGTATAATACCTCGTAAACAATAACACACATAAAATTTTACAATTTAGAGCAAAATACAACTTGGCGGCAAATATATAAGCGCAACTGTAAAAAAAAAAAAAAATTTTTTTTGCAAAAAGTGCACACATTTTACGTCAATTTTCGTCGCAAGTTATTTCCTTCACGAGGATGAGCAGCGGCACGATTGTATCCCGAAGATGCGTGTCCAGACTACCACATTTGGCCCACGTCAAACGCCTTGGGAAAAGGGACAAACAAAATTTAAACAAAACATAAAGAGAGGGTAAGGGCGAACAGATAAATGATCGAACAGGTGTACCACACTATCCGTTGTGGACCGGACAAAAAGGAGATGTTGCACAGAATGAGGGTGCTTATGTGTATGCCGCTCACGTATTCTATGCATGTCGCACTTCAGTTCGCTGTTCAGTTGCGCCTCTTCAATTCTTCAAAGTATGCTCCCGCGAGCTCCTTAGGCACATGTACATTTGCGTAGTAGTTTTTCCCTCCCTTTGGAAGTCCCTCCAGTTTACTGGGATGAACAGAGGCATACACAGGCATGGTGATACCATCAACCTGTTCATTCATAATTTTATTTTTGAGGGTGCTATCAAATGCGCCAATGTTTTGTATTAAGTTACGGTACTTATCGCTCTGTTTCTTGCACTCCAGGAGAAGGTAATTGTAAATCCACACGTCCGGGCTTTGGTAGTTGTCCACTGCTTTTATTAGTCCATTAGGGAAGGTAATTTCATCAAGCTTGTTTTTTCTGTTATTAATAAAATGATTTAGACTCATCAGGCTCTTTTCATACTTGTACATTTCCTTGGTAAGTTTTTTGCTGATGCGAGAATTTTTATTTTCTTTGGTGTCGTCTCGGCTATTCTCGCGGCTGAAATCCAAGCTGAATTTTCCACTGTTGTCGGCGCTGTACCCTCGACTGTAATCATTACTGTGTGTTCGGCTATCCTCTCTGCTGTTCTCGCGACTTCCCTCGTTGCTATTCTCCCGACTGTGCGTGACACTGTTGTTGTCAGTCACGTGGTTGTTCTTGTCTTCACAAATGCAAGCTATTCTGGTTAGGTGCGAAATGATGGACGTAATTCTTTCTTCTAGGCGATCTCGCCTGTGCTTCTTGCGACCCCTACAACTGTTCCCGTCTCGTTCTTGCATCGTTTCGCTACCCTCTCCTTCATCTCCTCTCCCATCTGACTCATCTTCTACGTCACCACTCCTCCTCCTCCTCTTCAAGTCGCTTGATTTGACAGGCTTCCCCTTCTCGCTAGCCACTGCTCCGTCATTATTCTCTGCGTCATTTTCGAAATGAATTTTTAACTTTATTCTCCCCTTTCTTTCGCTCATTCTGGGGTTTCAATTTGGATGCCTTCCCCCATGGGCTGTCATAAGGAGGGGGAGTGTTCAGGAGACGAGTATCTCAATATTTTTGCAACCCAATTGGGGGGGGACACACGTACATGTTCACCCACGTTCCTGTTCAAACATTCGTGTGGATTCTTCTCTCTCTTGTGTTCACTCTTCACAGTGCAGAAATGGCTACTCAACTTTGCACAAAATGACTCACCAAAACAAACCTCGTTGCGTGAAGGGGAATTGATCGACCATATACTCGCCGATGCGTTTTTTTTTACAAATTAATCTAACGGGTTGGCATAATTGGCATGGCATTTGTTTATCACGTGTACCTTTGGTGAGTGTGCCCCCCTTGGTGGAGCTCCCGCATTTCGATTGACCGCGAAACAAGTCGTCAATGCATATTTCCCCACTTGGTATAGCAAAATGTTTTTAATGCCAATCGGGTGGGCACCCCGCCCATGTGCTATTATGGCTTTACGCCTTCCGACCCGTGAACCTAAATTGCTATGGCGAGGACGAAGTCAACGTGTTAACTCATGAAAAAAGGGCATAAAATAATGTCCGCCCTTTTTTTTTTTTTTTTTCTTCTTTTTTTGTGATAAAAAGGGGAGCAGGTGATAAGAACATCCAAGCAGGGAATACATTCGACTTCACCTCATGGAGGCGTAGTCCACTGGGTGAAAAAAGCGTTTTAGGTATACCCTCGTTTTCAGGTGTGCCGCGAATTTTTCGTATAGGTGGTGACTTCACCACTTCTCCTATGCAACAGTTGTGTTGAGGTGAGTGCGACAGAACAGGGGTGTGCATTTTGAGGGGGAGGAAATTTTAAAAAACATTCGGGCGAGCTATGTGCAGGGTGTTGGGTTAATGTGTCTCCAATGGAGCACAGAGGCAAATGCAAAAAATGACCGTATGGATGACAACCCAATGCGCACACACAAAAAAAAAAGCAAAAAAATGTATCAACAAAATTGGCAAAAAAGTAGCTAACAAAAAAGGCAAATGAAAGAAGGTAGCAAAGAAAGTAAGTAGCAAACAAAGAGAGTTGCAAATGAAAGAAAGTAGCCAAAAAAGGAACCCTAAAAACTAAAGCGCGCATAGATCCTTGTAGAGGGAGATTATCTGGGACATCTGCTTCTCCCAGTACCTCATTTTGCTTATCGACTTCATGGATACGTCAATCAAATTAATACGGTAAAATATTTTCTTACTTCCGCGAGGCACATAGGCATTCTCCACCACATTTCGAAATTGCCTGTCATCCTCTTTGCTGCATCTTTCCTTTTCCCTTGCCAGATGGGTACTTCTGAGTGGATATGCATAAGACGTGAACCTTATCGTTGGAATATATTTTTTGTTCTTCCTGTTAGTAGCAGATAGTACGGTAGGGGGGACACTGTGCTGATCTCCATCCGCTTCAATTTCCCCCTGACTAGCGTTACCATCCTGGTTGTCCACACCATTTGCGTAGGTCACACCTGATACTCCACCTGGTCGTCGGCTTCTGCCCCTTCGTTTCACAATTAATGGTTTGAATCGATTGGCTTCCAACTTTTGCAGCATTTCCGCATCATCGTACCTATTGTCTTCCTTGGCGTAAATGTTAAAAATGGTACTGTTATCGCAAAGGGTCCTACTTATTAAAAAGCGGCAAACGAAAAAAATCATATTTTTATAAATTCTCATGGCCTGCTTCGGGATATCCCTCTTGCAATTTACTATAATATTTGTGCTGTTCAATTTGGACTTAAACGGCTCACTAGTAAGATAATTAAAGTGGTCGGTGGTTATTAAAGTTCGGCTGCTTAAAATATTTCGAATTAACTTCTTCCTATTCACCTTCCTTTTCATGCTGGGCTTATACATGGGTGTGTATTTTTTGCCGTACTCCTTTACATTGCGGTACAGCCCATAGTACAGCTTGCGTGTGCGATTTTTCATTTCGCTTTGGACATAAGTCAGATTTGACGTGGAGTACTTGTTCACAATCCCTATGGCTTCGATGAGGAGTTCGTTACCCAGAAGGAAGTGTGTGTTTTGTAGGTATGTGAAGGCGGCATGTTTGGGCGTTGCTTTCCGGTTAGCCGATTTCGTGTTTGTTATCTCACTCCCATTATCCCCACCGCCTAACACACACTGGGAGAGGCGATTGATTCGCTTGACGTCAATGAAACTGGACAGGTGCTTATTCCTTCCAATATAGCTGTTGTTACTTTCTGCGGATGTGAAATTCTCCAAGCTTGTACGGTAATAAGTAAAGCTGGAAAAAATATCTTCACTTTTTTTTAAAAAAAATAATTTCTCAAATATTTTGATTAAGAGTAGCATGGAGTGCACAATTTGAATTTGTCCAGCACTGAAGCAGTGGAAGTAAAGGAGTTTATAAAATAAAAATTTTTCCTTCTCTATCACATTTATGAGCATAACTAGCCTTTCCTTTTTCCCCTTGGTCTGCACGATGTATCTCTCCTTGTTCAATTCATTCTTACGAAAGAGGATATAATTTATCAGGTTGGAATTTCCACCATTCTGATCATTATAATGGGAGACGTTTCTTATTTCAAAGTTGTAGTCACATAATGAGGTGTAATTCCAGAGTGCCTTTTTCACTTTCTTCTGGACATCGGCAATTATTTTGTTGACCCTCTGTTCGTATCCTTTTTCTGCGTACATAATTTTCACACGATTCATATATTGTGTGAGGAGGTACTGGCACTGCTGGAAATACAACTTCACGGTCAGGTTAAATTGGTTCGTAATGAACCAGTTGTAATAAAAATATTTTTTTATCTTCCGATCGTAGAGGTAGACAAAGTCGTTCTTCATTTTATTAATGTAATTTTCTTCAACTTTGCTGTACATGTCGTTCCACGTTTTTTTTTGTTCATCGAATTTTTGCATGAACATGGTAAGGTACTCCTTCTGTAACTTCTTCAACATAATGCCGTACGTGTCACTCATGTCATGGTAAATTTCCCTCAGCTGGGTGAACCCTACTTTCAATAATTTTTTCCATTTCGTCTTGTCAGCTTTTGCTTCCTTCAGGAAGAGGACTAAATCATTTTTCCACTTCCTCAAAGGGAACTTTTTATCAATTGGTAGGACAAAGGCGGTGGCACGGTTCCTGTGCTCGTTCCCATCCTGGTTGGTATTATTAGAGGAGCATTCTCCCTCGTATTCTTGACACTCAGCCAAATTGACGTTCCAAAGGGGGTTTTCCTTTTTTTTAACACGTAGAAAAGCACTGTTATGGAAGTACATTGGGGCTATTATGGCCCATCGCTCCCAAATAATATGCGCCACGTTCTTCAGCAGGGCGATCAAATGGAGGTAGTAAATACCCTTGTAGGTGTCGAAGATGTTGACCAATTTTTTGAGACACATGGAATAGTCCCCCTTCTTCAGGCTGAACAAGACCTTTCGCAGATCCTGGCACGTGCACGGAATGACATACTTGAAGAAGAAATTGTTGCTGAAAATGTAGTTTCGGTAGGCGTAGTTGGTGTAGGGGCGACCCATATTTGAAAGGCTTCTTTTGTAGGTCCATTTAAAAGATGGCCGCTTCTCATGGCTGCACTTGCCCAGCAAACCGCAGCTTCGTCCTCCTTCCAGGATGGCGCCTGAACCAATCCTATGGCAGTAGTCCAATATGTTGTAGCTACTGGCGTACTTCCACGACATTTTCATTTGTATCTGGTTCAACTGGTTCATGTAATCGTTGATCGTGTCCTCATCCGTTCCCTTGTCCCCTACAGAAGACCCTTCTGCCGTGTGTTCGGTGTGTTCCGTTTGTTCGCTCTGTTCAGTGCCTCCATAAGGCAGCACAATTGTTCCCCCACGCTGACTATTTAGGTGGGCCAAGTAGCGCTTCCCCTGGGGGTCCTTGCCCCCATTGAACGGACCCAGCGGATCGTTGTAGAACAAATATCTGAAGTAGTCCATCGAGTGTAGCGCTGTATCCACCCTCCTCTCACCATTTACATACAGATTCACATTATTACTATGAGAGAGAAAAACCAAATTTAAATTTCGAAATATCTCCCAATAATTTAGCTGGAAAAAATTGCTTGGCACGTAGAGGGACAAATGTTTGTAGTGGTTGTTCCTCTGCTTTATTAACTGTTGTATGTTGTATCGGTCCAACATGTCACTGTAGTCCTGCATTCCGCACTTCAACTTTAGCTCGACACTTATGTACTGGTCGAAGAAGGGAGTGTTTGGCATCAGTTCACTTGTGTCTCCCATTGAGACACCTTCTGGAAGGCCCAGATATGACTCCTCCGCGTTTACCTGTCCACCGCTTGGATGCAAAAAGGACGGAATGGCAAATAAATCCTCCTCCACATACCCAATGCGATTTTTCCTACTCTTGTTACGATAAATAAAATTATGTGTGTCATAAATTGCCTTAAATATGACCTTACCCGTGCAGGTCATTTTTTTTTTTTTTTTTTCAACCGTTGAAAATGCTTTAACCGTTTGATGTATATCTCAAAACACTGCAACACCTGTGGAAAAATATCTTTGTAACTAGTTTTGTTCAGATACGATTGAATTTGTTTTTTCACGTGTTGTAAATTTTTCTCATCAGTTGCGTAGTTAATAAATTCCTTCATGTCTCTCCAAATGTCCTGCACAATATGGTCTGAATTTTCCTTCAAGTAAGCTAAAAACTTGTTATAATGTTTGAGTAAGTACATGCCGATTTTTTCTATTCCATCAAAAAGGAAGTAGTTGGCTCTGTTGATAATTCTCCTGGCCAAGGAGTTCCCACGTGTGTACCACTCCACTGAGTACTTCACAAAATCGCTAAATTGAGAATCAAATACGACAAAATTATTATGAACAAGCAAGCTGTTTTCAAAGATCTTCACTTCCCTGTAGCACATTTTATTTAGCCAATAATATTGCAAAGTAACATTCACATTTTTCACATTACTGTCCTTCACAATTTTTATTACTGAGTTTTTTAAAAATACGTAGCTGTAGAAATGGATGTATCTCAAGATGTTGAAGTACGCGTGTGGCGACAGGGACCCTTTCGTAGGTGTCCTTCCCGATTTTACTACCCCCCTGTAATCGTTAAAAGGAGTTTTGCTCTTTACCCCACTTGTCTGCTTCAGCACTATCATCTTGTTTCCCTCCCCAATGATTTCCACAGTGCCCTCCATTGTGTCGCGTAGTTTGTTCTATATCGGTAAGACAAAAGCCGTAAGCGGCGTTTTTATCACACCTCTAATGGGAGCGGGAGGTAAAGGCAGCAAATGAGACGCTTCCTACACTACCTCTCCTTCACGATGTGTGTGTGTGTGCATACATATAAATATGTAATCACGCACGTGTGGGCAATCGGGGCATCCATCCCTATCATCTAACTGCGCACACTGCAGGGACGGGAACACTACCGAGGCAACCCTCTTAACGATGACGCATTTGGGTGCACCTCTGTTTGTTCTCCTCTGTGAGAAAGCCCCCCCTGGTGAAAACACTGATGTGTATACGTCCACGCGATCAGGTGTCCCTGCGCATGCACAGAAAATGCGCAGGTTCACGCACACAATATTAAAGAATGAAATGCATTACTCGTATGAAGCAAAATGAGAAAATTTTAAATCAAAAAATTCTTCGCTGCGAAGATAAACTTCATACACGAATTATTAAAAAAAAGGGGACAATCACAGGTAGCAAAGAGAAGAACACACTGCCCCTGTGTTGAATAAAAAGGTGACTCTCCTCGCGCAGCGCTTTTAAATTGTGTACACTGATTGGCCGCTAGAACAGGGGCGCAAAGGGAGTAACAAAACGGAGCAGTTACTAAAAAAAAAAAAAAAAAATTGTTTTAAATGAAATGTGATCGCTTTAGGGTAGCTATGTTGCAACCACACATCACCAACTCATGATGTATTTAAATTGGTGAAAAAAAAAAAAAAAAAAAAAAAAAAAATTTAGAATAAACAATTTATGAATTGCTAATACGCATCAATGATTTTTATTCTTTAACGAAAGTTCGCAATTCTAAAATAAACAAATTGAGGTGAATTGTTTTTTTTTTTTTTTATGTCCTTTTTGCCATGCTACCTTTTCATCAAAGTGAACAAAAAAAAAAAAAAAAATTAACATAAGGTTAAATATAAAAAAGGCGAAGCACAATGCTAAAAATACAGCGAAACGTAATACAAACCTGAACAAAGGCTTTACCCTCTCGCAAAATTGCAACAGGTTTTTTTTTTTCGTACTTGATCAGAACAAAAGTGCTCTATATTTTTTCAAGTGCTAAGAAAGTGGGGCCGACAGATTTGTTCGTTCTCGGTAAAAAAAAAAAACCCTTCACAAGGAGCACTCACTTTGAATGTTCAGCCGTTTTGTTAGCTGCGCAAAGATGCACATAAAAAGTATCTACCTTAGGTGTACAATTCCGTTGGAATAAGTTTTTTTTTTTTTTTTTTTTTTGTTCTGTTTGCGTCTCCGCGGGAGTCGCACTTTTTATGGCGCGCGGACACTTTCTACGCGGTTCACACAAAGCACATATTCATATAGGCACTTTATGCGTGCGCGTGACAACTTCCCGCTTCTTCGACAGACGCAAAGCTTTGTTGCGTACGCATCCGCCAAGTTCAAATGCAACGGCACGGCAAGCAGAGGAGAAGAAACCGGAAGGGGCAGAGCAAAAGTTAGAGGTCTGCTGTTAAACCCCTAACGGGATAAAAAGCTGCATTCCGCGGGCACAGCCATACAGCCATCACTACACGCGGATGTGCTAGCCAAAGCAGGGTGCACTACCAACTTTTGGACTCTCCGATTTGCGGCAAAGATATATATATATAACCCCCAAAACATTGACTTTTGTAAAAAAAAAAAAAAAAAAAAACAAATTATGACAAAATAGGAAATATAATATATAGTCTCCCCCCCTTGTGCCCATTTCTCAATGCTGCATCACTACTTTGGTCTTCGTCTGAGGTGAATTTTCTTCCTTTGAATCATCTCCATTGAGGCCTGTCATCGATCTGGCCATGGATGCAGTGACCGTGCTGGGTTCCCCCTCCAAGTGGGACTCCATATTTGCACCCATGCCCATACCCATGTCGGGTCGAGAATTCTTCCCGGAGTTGGTCCCTGAGTTTGATTCGCCTTCTTTAGTGGCACCAGGTGAAATGCCACTGGAAGATCCCCTTGGGGTAGGAGCAGAGACGTGCCTGTTGGTCTGCATGTCCCCGCGTGTTTCAAACGAATTGCTCAAATTCCAACTAACAATTAAATCAATGAGGTCCTTCGAAACCACCTTAGAATTGCTACCGAACACACAATTCTGTATGTTGAGGCAGAGCTTAGAAATTTGTCTGCCTGATAAACCAACGAGACGACTAGCTAACACATCTAAGTAGAGATCGTCTATGGAAGAGTCCACAACAATGTCGTACCTTTTCAAAGGGAAGACGTATTTATTAAAATAAAGAGAAAGCATTTTTCTAATTTCATTAATTTTTGGAAAATCAAAAATGTATTGTTCATCCATTCGATCGATGACAGCTGGGTCCAAGATTTCCCTACAGTTGGTAGCTAAAATGATACAAAATTTTTTGGACTCCGTTCCTGTGTGGTAAAGGAAAGTAGCTAATGCGTTTCGAAGGCTCTCTGACAAATGAGCTGATGATTCATTTCTACCTCTTCTTAAAAACGCTTCAGCTTCATCAAAAAAAATAACACATTTTTTATTTTTCCTTCTTTTTATAAAATCAAATATCTTGTTCAATTCGATAGAAGCATGAACACCTAAGGCACTTACATCACCTCCATTAATTATTATATAATCAAAATTGCTAAAATGGGAAAGGGTTTTGGCGAACAGAGTTTTTCCTGTACCTGGAGGACCATGAAGTAAAATGTTCTTCAGATGAAGATCATACTTTTTCGAATTCGTTAAGCTATTAATTGACCAACTTAGCTTTTCTTGTAACTCTTCATTTAACACAATGTTGTTAAAAAAATTGCTCTCCTTTTTGTCTCTTCTTTTTAAAACTGTTTTCATCAGCAGAATATTCTTTTTTAAGTTAAAAATGTCAAAAAATTTGTTAATGTGCCATAGGGAAGTCTCTCTAATTAGCTTTGGCTTCCCCAACTTCGTTTCTGCATAGGACCTGATCAATCTTGTGGTGTGTTTAGTGGTGTAAATTCCCACAGAGGTGAGTGTAACTACCATGACAAATCGGTATAACCTCTCCTTATCATTTAAAAATAAAAACATGGAATTATTAAATTGCTCAAAATATTTATTTATACTTTCCAGCTTGGTTTTTCTTTCTTCATCTGCTTTCAATCTTAATGTCTTCAAATGTATATCCAAATTTTTTCTTTCTCTTTCAATAAGTCCTTTATTTTCTTCTTGTATTTTTGCTTTCATGTTTTCCCTTTCCATTAATTTTTCTTCTCTAATCTGTTTCATTTTTAAATTTAATAATTCAAGTTCGTTTCTCTTTCGAATATTTTCTTGTCTCAAATATTGTTCATGTTGATTTTTCAGCCATTCTTCGTTTTGCTTCTGTTGATCTAGTAGCTTCTTCTGATATGCTTCTGCTTCAAGTCTGGTTTTGTATTCGGCTGTGATGCGCTCTTGTTCCTGTTGATAATTTATAGTTTTCCTTTTCTCTTCATTTTCTATCCTCATTCTGTTGCTAAGGTATTGAGCCTTTTGTAATGCTAGCTCTTCCATTTGTTTTTCATATTCCTTTTGCTTGGTCAGCTCCTGCAACTTGATGAGCTCGAATGCCTTTTTCGAATTGGATGACTGGTCGAGCTCCTTCAGGGCCTTTGCTCCTCTTTCCAGAGCCGTGGGGTCGAAATTCCCTGTGATGTGTTCCCCACCCTTGTCGTCCACCAAGGTGTGCTTCACCCCGCCCCCTCCCGGGGCCACCATCTTGGAGATGTTCGGGAAGTTCATCCTGCGGGGTGATATGAAGTAGGGACGTGGCGACGCGGCGACGCAGTGAAGTGGTAAGGAGACAGCGAGTCCTTCCTACCCTGACGTGGGGACGTGGAGTAGACACTTTTTTGCCACGCCTATGACGGAGAGTTATGCTTCTTCAATTGCTCCTACCAGCGGCTGCCTTTCCTCTGCTCCACTCTTCCTATCAAAGGATAATTGGTTCGCCTCACGTTTGTGTCGTCTCGAGCTAGGCCACTGTGTCACCTGCTCAGCACATTTTATACGTGTACATCTGCGGCGCGGGGTGCGGACGCTTTTGCGGGGGCCCAGTTGAGGAAAAACGGTGTAAGGGCGCCCACGCCTTGATCTAGCACAATACAAATTTTATGTGACAACACGTATACGTTGGTGCATGCATTACGTATACCTGCGCGGCAGTGCGTAGGGGAGGGGGGCGCGCCCTCTGCTTTTCCTCTTCAAGACCCCTTTCGCACATAACTTTTTTTTTCCCCTCCGCCGTTCCTACGACGTTCTACAAGGATGAACTCAACTGGGTCGAGGATTTCACCTCAAACTATTTCACCACAAATTTGACCCTCTTCTTTGAAGGCGTTGCAAAAATGTGGTATCGGATTCTCAGGAGAGTCGCGAAAAATCTTCACAGTGGATTCGCAGCTCATTCGTTTCTCTGGTTGTTCCTTGTGTTCACTTTGCGCATTTTTATCTTTGTTTTTTTTTTTTTTTTTCAGTGCCCCTTTTGTGATTCTCTTTTGTTTTTTACCCAATTGGGGAAACACCTCAACGACGGTGCCGACAAGGAAAAAAAAAAAAAAAATTTCTTTTATGAACAGGTGATAAGGCGACACGGCGGCAAGGTGGATACACCTGGGAGAAGCATGTTTTGGGAGGAGAGGCACCTCTACAAAATGCACCTTCTACTTCTTATGTTTTAGCCGTGGGCTCGGCACTTGGGGGCTAAGAAAAAATAATCCTCAGAGAGGCAACAACGAGGGAAATTCTATTAGTTGGCCGTTCTTTCCTCGCACAATTCGCCGCAAAAAGTCCTTTGCTAGCCCGTACGACGTCACCTACGCCTTCAACAAACGAGCAGAAAAAGAGGTGGCTAGCACAAGCAGCACTATTGCATAAATGTATCTGTTGTGTTATATAGGCATGCATACATCTCCAACACAATGCTACCCGTCCATGTTGAATATAGTTCTGCTTGAACGGATGGGGGAGTTGTACCGGCCTGGTGAGGTCCACACCTACTGGCGAATCTCTTAAATGCAACTGTTGTAAAAGGGGAAGAGCCAAAAGAAAGTGTTACTCAAAAGTGCTGCTGAAAAGTGCCATGCAGGGAGTACCCCGCACGGTTGGATATGATCCGGGACTACCCCTGAGGCGTGCCTGCCGCCGAGACAACACAACACCGGAGAGGCACAATTTCTGTCTGCTGCAGATGGAAGCGCAGGACCCCTTCCCCTAGCGAGGCGAAACAAATAAGTATTTCATTTAAAATTTTTTACGTACGCGACACTGTGTACTGTAGCCCGTCTGGAAAATTATTTTTTTAAAAAATCGCAATGATAAACACCACAGGGGGGGAGATATGATAAACCGGAAGGGGGCCCAAGGAGGAAACCTCAAATGGGCCACCACATGGGGCACAAAACGAACCACAATACAAACGACGGAAACAAACAAAAATTAAATACACAAAGATAAGGCCTAAAGTAAAAAATTAAAAAAAAAAAAAAAAAAAAAAAACTAAAAATGGAGGGGGGTGAGCTGTGAACCAAGATGTACATGCGGCTGGCTTCATATGCTCACACGTGGTATAGTAGTTCACTTGTCTTGTTTTTCGGTCAAATTTTTTTTTTGTTTTTTTTGTTTTCTACTTTCCCATGAACTTGCAATTTGTGTACACATCAGAGTAGTGTTATCAGCAACAGGTGTGTACATCTTCCAGATAATTTTCTTTTTTTTTTTTTTCTGTCCTTTAACTGATGAAACATAACATTCCGATGAGAAGGAAAACTACGGAGCTGAGAAAGGACACGGTGCTGCTTGACTTTCCTCCGTTTAGGTCTACAAAAGGGGACAAAAAAAAATATATATATATATATATGATAGTCAACGGGGGAGGGGAAAATTAATTATTCGTAAATGTTTCAATTAAAATCAGGTCGTTCTGTCCAAAATGGGGAACTCCACAAGATGTGGTGAATTTTTAAAAGGGACTGATGTCCTTACCAACATCGACTTCTTCCGTTTCAACAATGACTGAGTTGTTGCCTGTAGAAGCGGAGGGGGGGGCATAGTTGCGGCCAGATGTACATTGTCGTTATGAGCGTACTCACTGTGCAGTATATAGCAGCAAGAACTGCACCGCCCACCCGCGAGATTTCACAAAAAATACGATACACACTGTGCACAGAAGCAGAGTTCATCCCTGGCGGATGAGCCAAATTACCCTCTCCTTTTTCCAATTCCAGCAATTCGTGAGCCTTTAGTTTGTTATTTTCTGTCAACAGGGGGGGGAGGAATAGAAGTGGGAGATGAGAAGGGAAGAAATATAAAAAGAATGAAAGAAAGAACTCGTATTATGCTTCGTCCTTTTTAATCTCCTTTTTTTTCTCCTAGTCTGTTCCTCCCGCGTGGTACTTACCTAAGGCGTCCAAGTCCATGTTGTGGTGTGTGCCATTTGTATTGTGTTCCGCAGAGGTATGCTTGTGTGGGGAGATGTACAATTCTCGCTTCTTATGTGGAACCATTTTTGCGTTGTAAATCATATTGTTATCGTTGAGCAAGGTGTTTTCATTGACTCCCTGGTCTAGCAGATTTGCGTCCAAGGGATTGTTGAGATTTGCACCTTCTTCTGTTCCTAGGTTTCCTCCCTCTTCGTACGAATCTGCAATGACCTCCTCTGTGAGTTCGTCATTGAACAGATCTTCGTTGGACAAATCGGTGTGCTTGTTGTTCGTCTGGTTGTTACTGTTAGTAGTGTTATTCTTATTTGCCGTGTTACCCAAGGTCGTTGTAGCCTGTGTCGCATCTAAGTTAGAAGCATCCATATTTTCCTCCATGAACCCATTGAGTTCATCATTTGAAAAGGATTCATTATCTTCAAAATGTGCGTCGTCAAGAAGGCTCATCTTGTGAGTGGGTTGCTTCATTGCCTTCTTGGATCCCTTCTTCACGGCATCCTTTATAGTTACGTGGTCATTAAGTATGTCATCAATGTAGCTCAAGTCTTTTTGTATAAAGGAGTGAACATCGTCGGTGGTGGTCATCTCATTGAGGTGGTAATTGTCGAAGGCGTCGTCCTCGGCATTCTTGGCGTCTGCAAAAAAAGTGACAGTGAAATGGGACGTTATGAAGGGGGTTAGTTTTCGGAGTTTTCTGTCGCGACGGCCGCTGCTGTGTCGCGTAGGCTGCTTCTGTGTCGTGACGGGCGCTTCTTCTTCGCGATGGCTGCTTGGGCTTACCCTCCTCGTCGGCGTCCTCCTCGTACAAGTCAGTGTATGGGGTTCCGATTTCTCCGCGCTCCAGGAAGCTATCCTCGTCGTACTCATCAAACGTGTCGTCGCTCTGCTCATCCTCATTATGCCTGTACGAATCCTGTTCCAAAAAGCTACCCTCATCATCAAATTCATGATTGTATTTGTCGTCCATATTATCATTATCTAAATAGCTAGACACAAAGGTGCTGTGCTTTTCATTGTCTTCCTCTGTGTGTTCATTAACATTGTGTTCTAAGAAGCTTTCCTTTTCTTTATTTTTGTTTCCCTTCACATTGTTTCCATTTTCGTCATCGTTGTTAGTGGTTGCCGTGTTGTTGTTGTTGAGGTCATCTGATCCAACATACTCATCAGGGTAATCATCATCAGTCATTTTATTTTGGTACTCCTCTTTGTAGTCCTTTCCATTGGCCTCACCATCATCGGCATCCTCTTTTTCTAGGAAGCTATCCGCATGCTCTTCATCAAATTCGTCATTGTCATTATCACCCACATCTTCATACTCCTCTTGCTCAAGAAAGCTGTCCGCATCTTCATCGTAGAATTCGTCATTTTCGTTATCACTGGCGTCATCATATTCTTCCTTTTCAATGAAGCTTCGTTCATGGTCGTCCGCAAAATCATCACTCTCATTATCACCTACATCTTCATACTCGTCTGTTTCAAGAAAGCTCTCCCCATTTTCATCATCGAATTGATCCTTGTCTGCGTTATCCTCATCCTTATCAATCAGGTTATCATTTTCATCTGTTTCAAGAAAACTGTCATCGTCTTCTTCGCCGTCCTCGTAGTTTGAAGAATCATTGTTGAGTTTTCTGGACAACCTGTATGGTGATAATTGGCTAGCTGAATTGGTGAGTATTTTCATGGATTCACTACTTTTTAGGAGATACCGAATTGGGTTCAGATAGGTAGATGCATTCAAAAGGGAGTCCAACTTTTTCACATCTATTTTGGCATGATGAGAATTGAAATATGAGCCAGATGCTGCGTTATTGCCTCGGGCGTCTGCCCCATTCAGGGTGTTCAAATTGTGCACCTCATTTCCAGGGCCGCACTTCACTTTGTCTGCATAGCGGGGGGAAGGGAGTGGGTAGGTTAAGGAAATAAGCATATGTGAAGCAATGCGACATGGTTGGAGCGGCTCCTATATTTTCAATGCAGAGCTAGTCTTAAACATGTAACCCTGCGCATGAAGCATGTGCCTCATTTTGTGTAGCTACCTTTAACAAATTGTGTGTTGACGCCATTTTTAAAATTCTCAATGTAGCTGGTAACGTTTTGTATAATAAGCAAAGACAGCAAAAGAAGATTCATGGTTCACGTTGGCGGGGAGGAAATAGGAGGGTTGTCACAAACTGTACGTGATAATGCAATGAGGATACAATGAATTAACACGATGATACCCAAAACAAAAAAAAAAAAAAAAAAAAAAAGGACAGCATATATAGCAAACAAGTAAAACCGCTTGTACAGTTCGTGTGCGTTGTCTGCTGCTGTCGCCCCGTCGTTAACAAACTGAGTTGTGCATTAAGCAGATTAGAAGTAAGGACAAATGTCACGTGTAGCAAATGTGCTCCTTGATAAAACACATAGACACGTTGCCGCTCGTGTCACGTGGATGAGTTGTACACACGCACACACACTTGCGCAGATATAGTTGCACATTCGCTTAAGCGTATAATGGCCCCATGAGCATTCGCATGATTTGTGTTGCCAGAGGCGAACTGAGGTTGCTACAAAATAATGGTGCAGAATGTGCGCGGTGCAAATGCAACTTATGCCGATTGCTTCACAAAAAAACAAAAAAAAAAAAAAAAAAAAAAAAAAAAAACAGCTAGCTTAATACTCGATCAAAGAGCAAATTGTATAAAAATAGCTAAAACGAAAAAAAAAAAAAAAAAAAAAAAAAAAAAAAAAAAACAAAAAAAATGGTCATAGAATGTTGTTCAGATTTACCATAACAGAATTATGCGCCGGGGAAAGGAAACAAAAAAAAAAGAAAAAATTGCAGTTGGCGTTTTTCCTTACGCGTTTCACAAAAATGTTAGCATTTCTTTGT